TTGGAGAAGTGTGCACTGGAGACTGACATCCGAGCACTACTGGGATTAGATCGTGACGAGGATGAGTACGGGGCGCAGGTTGGCGAGGTTGCTAGTCTGTCTAGGTGGTACAGAGGATTTGGTTTGTTGGGTGTGGGAGCTTTGACTCATTTGCAGCAGTCTGGTCCGCCAGCTAGAGAGGCTCAGTGTTACCTTCTTTTGCTGCTTGGGTCCACACTGTTCGTAGATAAGAGTAAGGACCGCGTTTCTGCTGTTGTCAACTTGTTTGTGAAGAGGCCGGAGATGCTAGGAGAGTACGCGTGGGGGGCAGGAGCACTTGCTTATCTGTACAGGCAGCTTGGTATTGCCTCCCGGGCGGAGGCTAAGGGAGTGGCGGGTTGTCTGACTTTACTACAGTGTTGGATTTATGACCACTTTCCTACTTTGAGACCTAGTCGGTTGGAGCCACGAGAGTTGGAGCGGGGTCAGGCAGGGGCATTCAGGTGGCGCGGTACAGCACCCCGGTCGAGTAAGAAGAGGGATGCACAGATGCTGGCTTATTATCGGCAGGCGATTGATAGTTTGACCCCTCAGTCAGTTTGTTGGACTCCGTATGGTCAGCGTCCTCATCTGACGGCGAGACGTACCTTGTATCAGGGCCTGCTCAGATTTGCAGAGATAGTAGAATATTATGATCCTACTAGGTGCCTCCGACAGTTTGGCTACGTGCAGTGTGTACCGTATCGCCCGGAGCCTCCGCTTGTTGTGCGTCGACCTGCTTCCACGCTTGGATACTCGCTTAGCTACCAGTCGCACCTTGATGGAAGTTGGAACAACTTGGGGGCGCATAGTGTGCAGCTGGACTATTATTCTACTCAGATACGACGTAGGCCATGGGAGGTTGCTGATGATTACATGGGTTGGTACATTAGGCACTCGCGCCCACTTATACTGGGTGACAGCCGACCTGCCGACGACATCTCGGATGCTGATACGGTTAGTACAATCATATTTTAAATTATTTGTATTAAGTTAAAAAAATGTTTTGATTGTAACTAACATGTATTTAAATTGTATGGTTTTTGTTTACAGTTGTCACGCGAGATGTGGATTGAGATATCTCCCGTGATGGATGCTGCACAGGGTAGTAGGGAGGAGTGGATGACTAGCGCCAACGAGTACTACGACTTATGTCATGGAGTTGGGAACATGTGGCCCGAGTTTAGGAGGAAGTCGGGTTTTCTACCACCTCCACAGTAGTTGTATGATTATTATGTCATATCTATGAGCGTTATTTGTTGTTTTTAGACGAGTTGACTTATGTGTTCTACTACGACTTATGTTATGTGGTGTTCATTTGCTTATTTGTTGTTTTGGGACTATGACTTATGTTATTATGTCATATGTATGAGTGTTATCTGATTATGACTTATGTGGTTTATGTTGTACTTCGGATGTTTTTATTATATCATGCTTCCATGTGACGTAAACTAAATGCAATACAATTTATTTAAATTGAAGACGTTCATTACAATTTATTTATGAGTCGGACGAGTACAAATTTATTTCTTTGGAACCCTTTTTTTGCGTGATGGAAAGTTATTCGCAACACCCCCAAGATCGAACCACATTTGACTAAACGGCGCGAAATAGTTCTCCCATCCATCCACGCTTTCTTGGTGACCGCCTGGCCAAATGGCATGTAGAGGGGGCAACGGTATCTTGTCTGCCGGGAAGGAGAGGTTGATCTAATGATTCTGGACGAAATGCAGAACAATGACTCCTCTAGGGTGGGTTTCCCCATATATGTTGTCCACTGGCAGAATGGTACTGTTGTACTTTTGTGGTTTTGGGTAGAGTACACAGCTGTACATGACAACAGCCAAATTAAATAGCGTGGCAAATACGAATAGATCCACACCCATCATCCAATGATGTTCAGTCGTTGGTGCTGTAGTAGAGATGTCAATGCGTCTGATTGCGTCATTGATATCTGTACCAAAGATGGGTGCGTATCGCCAATCGTTCTCACGCATTTCTTCAGCAAGTCTTCGCCTCACCTCTGGGAACCCTTCTTGATTACCATATAGTGCAAAACTAAGTGCACGAAACCCACCATGACCGTCTGGCACCGGGTCGTGGATGGCAATGACAAGCGGTCGAATGAAGACAGGAAGCAGTTCCATGTGTCCGTAATCAGAATGGGTGCTGCTGGTTCCAGGGATCTCTGTGAAGGAAATAGATAATCAGCACAAATTCGACGTAAAATATTAATATAAATAACTACACTTATGAAAAATTTAAATTGTACCTGTGTCAGGACAGTTGTATTTGTTGTTTTCTTCGGGTTCGTCACACTCCTCCGCTGCATGGTCGTCTGACGGGTACTCGTCTGTCTGAGTCCCCGTGGACTTGGTACTGGTCGACTTTGTAGACCCCGACGTTGTGCTTCCCGACTTCTTTTTCATGTCTTTCTTCTTGCCTCGCAATATCTTTTCCCACCACCCTTTAGTTCTTCCGGTTGATTTTTTGGCTGGGCGTCCCTTTCGTGATTCGTTCACTTCTGGCTCGTGAATGTTGTCTTCTGCCGGGTGGAGACCGCGAAAGACATTCTTTGCTGCTTTTTTCGTTGCCTCTGGTCCTCTGCGTACAGCCTCATCAACCAACTCCTGAAGGTGACATTTAGCCTCCTCCTCCTGGGGAACGTACTCCTGAGCATTGGATGGATGCTCGTATGACAGTGTCCGCCAATATATATGAATATCACCGGGGTATATCTCTATGTCTCGCGCTCTGCCATCCATAACTTGACATCCACACCTCAAGCCGTGTGTCACAGAGAAATGACATGCACATCGGGAGTTCTCATTTTTTTCCAAGCGGGCAGCCAATTCTTCTTCAGCCTCTTTCATTAATATAATTGCCTGCATGCTGACCTTCCTTCTCAAGTATGTGAATGGTGTACCACCGGATGCTGAAAGGGTTTTCTGTCTAGAGTTTTCCAACATCATCCTAACCTCCCCGAGTTGGTTAGTAATGTAGCGGTGGTTTCCTTTCCATACAGTGTCCATAGATCCCCGCGAGTTGTGGAGGAAAGTTTTCAAAGCGGAATGTGACGACTCAACCCTGTTTGTGCTCGTATTTCCTAGATGAAACACATTTTTTGTATGACAAACAGCCCACTTTTCTCGATGTTGCCACCACACTCCCTGTATGTATTGCAACAGACGTGGTTCGTAATTGCCCCATCTTGTCCTAAAGCGGCCAAACGCGGCCAACATACCTTGCTCTGACCAAGAATAAAGCATAGGACACCAATATTGATCGTACGCCTCGTTGACCAAATCCATCCTGTCCTTCCCAAATATTTCCAAACACTTCTTCTGCACATTGGTGTTGATGTGCCAAACACATAGCAAATGCGGGGTGCGGGGGAAGACCACAGGAACCGTAGCAAGTAGTCCACCTTCGTGGTCGGTGACGATGACACTGGGCACGCGTGGATGGAGCAATTGTTGTATGCACTGCAACAGCCAAATATACGACTCTTTTGTCTCATCCTTCATGAGAGCACAACAGATGTTGAAATTCTTCCCAACTGGAGTAGCACCTACGACCTCCACCCACGGCCATTTATATGCATTGGTCTTATACGTTGAGTCGATCAAAATCACGTACGGCCAAGCCTTCAACATCTGGATGGAAGTTGGATGGGCAAAAAAAAGATGTGTCAGCACGTCGTCATCGTCCTTCATAACCTCTGTATGATAATTCTCACGTTCAGTTGCTAGCAACGCATACTGCACTGCATTCATCTCGCCCATCTCGTCTTTCCTAGACTTGGACCCGAGGTTATACATCTGCCTTTGGGTGTGATGCCCTTTGTCACCCTTCTGCTTGTTTATTGTCTGCTTCTGTTGCGACGGAGGTACCCCAGCATCTCTCATCTGCCTCAGAGATTCTTTATCCTCCTGACTCAATTGATTCAGTTGACTGTGGCCTTCGGGATAAAGCATCTTCTCATGATTGTGATACCCTCGCCTTAAACCGGTTCCTTGCTCCGTCACTCCTTGTATCTCCCAGAATGAAGGTCCATCAAGAGCATCTGGATTAACCAGTAGTTCTTTGATTTTAATCCTGAACATGCACCCCGATCCTTTTGAACTTGTATTGCCACGACTCTCCTTGGAAGGATCCGGCTTGTATGACTTCCTCTCCCTACTACATCTGTCGCAATACATATAACAGATACCCAATAATCTTTTGTTGCTCAACTCACGTGGCTTCATCGATCCCTTAGTTAGAAAGAAACCAAGAGACATCGCGATGTTTTTGGTAACTGTTACAGCATCTTCGAAATTGTCGTATCGGACGCCATTGAGAAAATTGTCCGTGTAATCACCAATTAGTTCAACATTGTAATCCATGTCCACCTGCAATTGTGATTTTACAACTCGTTAGAAATGTACAAAATTAAACTAAATGCAATAATTTAATTAAGTCTAAAAAATAATGATAATTTAAATATAAATTATTAAACCAAATTAGCTCTACGAATTAAATCTAAACACAATAAACTAATTTGCGCTACAACAAAACACAATCACTTAATTAAACTAATTGTGCTTCAATTGACTCTACAAAATTAAACTAAATGCAATAATTTAATTAACTCTAAAAAATAATGATAATTTTACAATAAGAAAATTATTTAAATATAAATTATTAAACATCTTTAGCTCTACGAATTATATCTAAACACAATAAACTAATTAGCGCTACAACAAAACACAGTCACTTAATTAAACTAATTGTGCTTCAATTGACTCTACAAAATTAAACAACATGCAATAATTTAATTAACTCTACAAAATAACAATAATTTGACAGTAAGAAACTAATTAGCGCTACAACAAAATACAATCTCTTAATTCAAACTACATATGAATTTAACTATGTAAAATAGAAATAAAAGCAATAAATTAAATATAAATAATTAGCTCTAGAAATAATAACCTGTATCAAATTAAAAAATATATATAACACTGCCGACTCCGATGCATCCGGTCCCCGGCGACGGGCGCCGTCCGCTCGCCGACGTCCGTGAGCGGACGGGGTCCGACGACGGTGAGCGGACGGGGTCCGATGACGGCGAGCGGACGGGGTCCGCCTCAGGCGAGCGGACAGGCAAAAAATTCCAGGAAAGTCAGTGGGGTTTACCTGCTTCGCTGGTCCGACGATGGGGTACGGCTGCCGTCCAGTGCCCGGCGAATTATGCTGACGAGATTGGTCCGGTGGCCGGCGACTTAGGCTGCCGTCCGGTGGCCGTGAATCTGGCTGTTGTGTTTGTGGGAAGTTGGTGGTCGGGACTCGGGTAGTGTGTTCGTGTTTAAAAAACCATTTCAGCGAATAGAATATAAAGAAAAATTTGGAGGGCAAAATTGTCTTTTTAGTGTTTTTTACGGGCGGCAAATAGTAACCCTAAAAAAATATTACAAAGACTAGACCAAATACTACACGGTTGAGATTAGATCACATCTATGCAGTATGATCTGGTACGATCTGACTATGCATATTACATTGTACGAAAAATGAACAGTTTGTTTAGTCAACCACAAAAAATCAAACCAATAATCAAGAAATTTTATATTTTCCTTATTACATAAATTCTAACATGCATGCTTGATTTTGATACCATAAATCCAAGTAAATAACAAAAAGTAACGCAAAGTCAAAGCAATTCAACATGCAACATAAAGTCATAAACATTAGCATTATAGAGACACGATCGTCTATACTCTGTGGTGAAGTGTGGTTTATGAATAAAAGACGGGATCGATGCATGAGATTGGATTTTGGAATTGGGCCTTGTTGAGAAGTTGGCAAAGTGATTGAGTTGCTAGATTGGGTTCACGATTTGGTCTGGTAGACCGCAGCCTGAACCAGATCAAGAGATCAGTAATAGATTCTATAATATAAACCACATACCAGACCATTTTTAACGGTTTACGATCCGGATCAAATGGTTTAGTGCACGGGTTTTCAAACAATTTTGTCTATACATTTTGAATTTTCCGAGCCCTAATACAAAGCTACCTAGGTGGTTTACTTACCCTATTGTTTTGTTTTGTTCATGAATAACAGAGTAAAAACTATCATCAGTCATGAGTCAACAGATTCATATCTTTGTTCATGATTCTCGCTAGCTTCAGCTTCTTAATCTGTTATGTTGAGGAAACCCAGCAGATAGAGGTAGAATTAGTTAGTGTTAGATTGCGACTGAAGAGAATGGAACAAGAACAAGAAAACGAAAACGAAAAATAGGCGAGCAGGACGGTGGTTGAATGATGAAGCCCTTTCTCCCAGATACTCTTTTTACATACAAGGTCATGCTTCACTCGAGTCCAATCAATAATAATGAGACCCAAAGTGACATACCAAAAGGCCAACCACAAAAAAAAAAGTTCTATAGAGAGGGAATATATATTTTTAAAGAGGAATATATATTTTTAATTATTACAGCCTTCGTACTTGATGTTGTTTTGAGATTCTCAACTCATTTAAATAAAATTGTATATGATATATTCAATGATATTTTGTCAAAACTCAGTCGTTGTAACTTGTAAGCACGAAAAATAGTTAGTATTACCCACTTTAATACATGTATGCATGATCGTACATATTTTATTCATTTAAAATTTCTTATTCGTAATAATATTGTCAATTGTGCATTGTATCTGTTTTTTTTTTTTAACTTCTAACATTGTGTATAAACAAAAAATTATATAAAATTAGTGGGTAGCCGAGATACAATTTGGGCCCCCACCTCCTTAGCTATAGCAAAGCTAAGTCTAGAAAAAATATACACGGTCGTTCGAGCCCCCACATCCTGAAACACGGAAAATTTCTGGATCCGCTTGAGCAAATCCATGACATCCGTATCCAACTCTCCTGCGAAGAAAAAGAAAAGGGCAGGAAACCATAACCAACCGTCATGCACAAGTCCCAATACTTGACATACTTTCGCTGAGCAGCGTCAGCAACAACTCGACCAGGCACATAACCAGTCATTCCCCAATATGAGTCAGAGGTGAAGAACCGGTCAAATCGACACACAGCTCGCCCCCTATCCCAGGAATAAAGCAGCAAATCCGTAGGACGTAGGGGTCCGCCATGTCTATCCATCAAACCTATATCAACCTCCCTATCGGCAGAAATCTCAGACCTGTAACAGATGTCCAATAAGGTGTCACGAACGAGGTTGTGTTGATGCTTAATGCCCACAGAACCAGCAGAGGACAAAACATGATCCCCAAAGAAATCACCAGGAAAGACACGGGAACAAGCAGGACAGAGCTTAGAAATCGAAAACAACGGGACACCCAGCCGATAACTAAGCACACTACAATATGTCCTCCCATTCATAGTTTGGCACAACCCAACAATGGGAACAGCGCGCCACCAATAAGAAGAGTGCGCACTCTACTGTGACTTCCACAAAGCCACCTGACGCGTAGTCAACGAGAAAACAGAATATGAAGTAGTAGCAACCTTCGCGAAATATATATCTGCCAATTTCTTCATAAGTTTGGGGACAACAACTCCACTAGGTTCACGTAAGATATCAGAACCTGTAAACACATTAAAGGTGTGTAGGGCGTCATCAAAACCAGGTTCAGGAGATAGAATACCATAAGGACCTAGGAGTGTAGCTTGCAACTCCGCTGACTGCAAACGAGATGCCAAAAAAGCATAATGCAGGCAGTGCAGTCAAAATCGCGCATTAAAACGTAAAAACTTACGTTTTTACGTATCCAGGCCACCAAAACGTTTCAGTTTCTACCTAAAGTCGCTTAGTCACAAAACTTATAAAAACATGGGTAAAATCGCTTAAAATCGGTAAAATCGCGATTCTGAAGCGTTTTGATACGATTTTGATCATCTCATAAAAATGCGCTAATTGGCCTAGAATGATGTAATTTTGGAGACATATCAGCAAAAAATAAAAAAAGGAAAACATGATTCATCACTCGTTCTACAACTAGTGTCGAGATAGGGGCTTCACATTAGGTTAAAAAGATACCTAATGGTATTCTCAACAGCCGTTGACCTTCTATAAGTCTTCTCCCTTAATCTTCACCCGTGGCTCTTACCTGGGTTACGATAAAAGTTTATGGGTAATTGATCGTATGTAATTATGTAAACTCAAACCAGCTTATGAGAATTTGGATTCTCAAACTCGTTTACAGGTTACGATCTACGTTTATGAGCTTATTATTAATATGTTATGAGTTTTCTCTACTTTTGAGTCAACACAAATCGGTTTATGTGTTAGATATTACATTTTAATTATGAATTTCATGTAGTTATTCACTTATCTAAAATCTACACACTCACATTTTACATACTATATGTTGTACATAAGATATTTTAGCTATTTTAAAGGGTGCGTCAAAAACTTACGTTTTTACGCTTTGATTCTACGTTTTACGATTTTACCCATTTCCCGCTTTTAGATAGAATCGCGCTTTTAACTGCATTGAATGTCGGACATTTCCAGCAGCATAAACCCTAAGCCGACCCAAATGAAAAGGGAAGGTGGCAAGCCGCTACTGCCAATCACCAGTGGCGGAGGCAAGATTTGAAACCACCCCTATCCTTTTTCCTAATTTAAAAATATAAATATTTAATAAATATAATTCAAATTAATTATATTTAAATAATTTATTCGTGGATAAAGAAATAACAGACTAATACAATTATTGTTTGCATAAACAACCACAATGAGTTTTCATATTATGAAAAAAATATAAAATACCTTCATTGTTTACACTCTTAAGTGAGCCTCTTTCAAAGTATCTACTAAACAATCATTAACAAATTGATCGTCAATTCGACTTTGAAACTTGTTCTTAATATAGCTTAATCTAAAAATGCTCTTTGGACATAAACTGACATATAAAACTTAAGCACTTTTGTCTCCACCATGATCCGAGATAATTTATCAATTCATTACAATACAACAAATTACTCATAAGCCATAACATAATGATAATACCAAACAAGTTGTTGTCGATAATAGTATCATGAATGAAACCAATAAATTAATTATTTTTTGTTAATTAATGAATAAGAAATGAGTTATGGTGTAGTGTTAATACATCTTTATATTACATTTTGATTCTCGTCAAACATATGTGGCGTTATTTTTTTCCCTCCCAAAAAATTACCCCTGTCCTGGGACAAGGGCAAAGTTCCCTCCCTTCGCCTATGCCAATCACCAAACTCGGGCAAAAAAAAAAGTGACAATACGTTCTAAACTATACCAAAGAGCTGTGTCAAAAGATAGTTGGCCCGACCCAGAAACACAAGGGGAGCAACTACGCAAAGCGAAGTAGAGTTTAGAAATACTAGTACAAGTCATTTCATTTTTTCCGTTCATTTTGATGACTCCTATATTAAACACATATAAAACTCGTATAACACATTTAATATCCCTATTTAATAAATTAAATTGTTAACATGTTTTTATAACTACTAACATACTATTAAATGTACCATTAATTTAGATACGAAGTAAAATAGACATACATATTTTATACGCGATACCTCATTTTACTAACCATATGAGAAACTACTAATATATATGAAGTTTTTGACGAGGAGGGAAATGGATTAAATTGGGCAAAGCTATAAACATCTTGAAGGCTCGACCATATATGATGGTGGGGGATTGAAAGTAAACAAAATGTGATCTATCGTGGGAGATACATTGCATAAGTGCTTCAAGTAGGTTATTCTATTCGCATTCGATAGACATACATATTTTATACGCGATATCGTATTTTACTGACCATATGAGAAACTACTAATATATATGAAGTTCTTGACGAGGAGGGAAATGGATTAAATTGGGCAAAGCTATAAACATCTTGAAGGCTCGACTATATATGATGGTGGGGATTGTAAGTATACAAAAATGTGACCTATTGTGGGAGATACATTGTATAAGTGCTTCAAATATGTTATTCTATTCGCATTCGATAGACGACATTTTGAATTAAATTACTTAATAGTATGACGATAATTTTGAATAACGAATATGTCCTGGTGTAAAGAGAATAAAGAAACATTTCGTTTACTTGGATACACACAAATCACAATAACTTTAGTCTGTAGGAGTTAATTGTGATAGTATTGCCCGTAGTTTACATAATATTTTGAGGAAAAAATAGAAAATGAATTAAAATAATATAATATTGATACATAGTTCATTCACTCAATATTGAATTCTTGACCAAAATCGACCCTCTCCTCCGCTCACCCCACCCTCTACCTGATGACAAACTAATAAGAGCTGGGCATCCTTATGGTCTCTGTAGCTAGGGTTGCAAATGAGTCGAATTGTTCGCGAGCGACGCGACGTTTGACTCAAAAAAATTCGTTCGAAATTCGACTCGTTTACTAAAAAGTTGAGGTTAAGCTAAAATTTGTTCATCTCGCGAGCTAGTTTGACTTGGGGGCTTGCTAAACTCAACTCTTGAGCTACCTCGTTTAGAGCTCATTGGATGTCTCAATATTGTGCATAGAAAGCTAACAATTCATATCCTATGAGTTGGATTTTGATAATTCAAATGATTGTTAAATAATATACCTCACCATATATGAAGTTTCATATGCTGAGCATTTAGAAAATATATCTTATCTTTTATTTTAAAAATAAATTATGTGTTACAAATTGCTTCGATACTAAATAAAACTATTTGAACTAGTTAATTTTGTTAGCTAAATAATATGATACAAACAAAAGCATAATATGATCGAGATGAGTTAATCTTGAACATTTGACATTTATTACTTTTTTATCATGACATCAATCACATGTATCATACATGACATACAAAATAAATGTTTCAGATACGAGCTAAGATTTTAGTAAACAAAGCCTAGCTCGAGCTCGGCTTGTTTATCAACAAGGTGAACTCAAACTAGGGTAAAACTCGGCTCGACTTGCCTCATTTGCACCCCTATATGCAGCTTTGTATCTTTAAAGTTTACACGTTTCCTGACCAAAATTAGTTAAAAACAGAGTGTATGAGTGCTTCTTCAAAAAATTAGCGGGGTCGCTTAGCCTAACACTTTTGGCAAATTTTATATAGACAAAGTACATGAGAGATCCATGATTCATAAATGAGAAACTAACTTTAACTGACAAAACGAAGTTCTCATAAGAACTATGAAATCAAACGTGCTTGGGGCGAAGCAGTGCAAAGATGGGTGATCTTTGGGAAGTCACCATGATATGCACCAAAAAGCAAAACCATGTCGGGGTTAGGGTAGACCCGAAGCAGACAATATCTTGGTTACGTAAAGGTAGGAATGTTACAAGTGGTAGCACAGCCTCGTTGCGTCCCTCTTGAATGATGGTGGACAAACCTCAACGAGAACATTGTGTCACTGATGGGGTGTATGTAACACTTTAGGCAAATCCCACGTTGACAACACGAGAGAGATCCATGATTCATAAGTAAGAAATCAACCTTAATTGAGAAGACGCATTTGGAGGAGTTTTCGTAAGAACTGTGAATTTAAACGTGCTCAGTGTGTAGCAGTGCAAAGATGGGTGACCTCCTATGAAGTCACCATGATATGCACCCAAAAGCAAAATGGTGTCGGGGTAGGCCTGAAGCATATAGTATCTTGGTCATGCAAAGATAGCGATGTTACAAGCGGTAGCACAGCCTCACGCTCCCCTCTTTAATGATGGTGGAGGAAACCTTAACGAGGACGTTGTTTTAGTGTGTGTGTGTGGGGGGGGGGGGGGGGGTGTAATAAATACCTTAGGCAAATCTCACATGGACAAAACACGGAAGAGATCCATAATTTATAAGTAAGAAACCGAGGTTAACTGACAAGACGCATTTTGAGAAAATGCAGGAGGTTTTGTAAGAATTGCAAAGTTAAACATGCTCAGAGCCGAGCAAGGCAAAGAGTCACTGTGATATGCACCCAAAAGGTAGATCATGCAGGGGTAGACCCTAATTGGACAATATCTTAGTGAGAAAAAGGTCGATGTGTTACACTTAGGGGTCGTTTGCAAACGAGTCATTTGCAAATGACTCACCCTCAAATGACTCAATTCAGGATGACTCGTTCTTTCGTCACTAGTGTTCAATCTTAACCCTCCCATTTTCTCATGAACCCAATACTAACCCTTCTCTACTTTTTCTTCATAAACTTTCCAATTATTTTTCATTAACACTTTTTAATTACGTATAGTAAAATAGTTGTTACTATTTGAAGACCGGTTTTAAATATAGGTTGTAAAATTACATACTTTGTAATCGTTCGAATTTGTGAAGAAAGTAACACAAAATTATTGTTAAAAAATAAATAAAAATCTTAATTCACCTGCATAGCCATAACTTTCACGATTTTGACAAATATAGTCACTTTTTGAAAAATACACAGATATAGCCAATTCTGTCAAATTCTTTGACGGTTCACTTAGCTCGCTGACTGGACTAACAACATCGTCTAATGTGTCGTATTTTATTTTGCATCCTTACCACGTGGAAAACATTGATACTGTTTTAATTAATGAATAAATGAAGTTAAAAATAAAAGTAAAAAGGTGAGAAAAAGAGATCGAAATCACTTTCCCCTTTTCATTCATCTCCTTCTCTCTCGATGACCCCATCCCATCTCTCTCCCCTTCTCTCGGCCACCGTCTGAGTTGCAACCGCCACACAAATTGAAGCCCACTGAATCCATTCAATCGACGACAAATTGAAGCTCACCTCCACTGGGAAGCCTCCGCCTTCTCTCTGTATCTCCTCCTTCACTTAAGGTTACAAATATGCTATGGCCGCTTCCACTCTCCTTTACCGACAAATCACAGCGTTGCCGAAGAGATCGAACTACAAGGGACTGCCGGACTGGTGGCAACGGCGGTCGTTCCTTCTCTTGTCTGTGACCTCTCATATCTTTTATCCCCTTAACAAGGGATTCGTCGGAAGAGGTTGTGTACGAATTGAAACTGGGTGAAATCGAAGAGAAAACGACCGTCAAGGTGGGTTGTTGCTGGTCTTGACGCATTTTTTATCCATCCATAATTGACTCTGATCTAATAAAGTTGTTAGAGGTGGAGACCTACAAAGAGTGGGCAACGATGGAGTTGGACCACGAGCAGGAGTTCTGGTGACCACTTCCGAGTGTTCTGGTTCTGGATCCGATCTGATGTATTTTGGTGGTTGCGGATGCTAGATTTTGGAGGTTGAAAAATTCTGGCGGTTGGGACATGGGAGGCCAAAATAGCGCGGTGGTGGCGGTGACAACTAACGCGGTGGCGGCAACCTTAGGAACTCTGAAAACCTAGATCCGTTCGTCGTCGATTGACGGAGAAGTTCGTCGTCGATTGACGGAGAAGTTCGGAGTCCGTGGAGGATGGGGTTTGGAAACGATGATTGTTTTATAAAAATAATTATTTATTTTAATTAAAAAATATGATGTGGCAACCAGGTGGTACGACTTGGTGTGTTGGAGCTGATGTGGGAGTTGAGGTGACAACCACATCAGCGTCTTGTTAACGGTGTTAAAGTTTTTAACGAAAATGACTAATTTGGTCAAACAAGCTTCTAAAATGTGGCTAAACCTATGTATTTTTCAAAAAATAGCTATATTTGTCAAAATCGTGAAAGTTAAGGCTATGCAGGTGAATTAAGCCCAAGTAAAAATTTAGTATTATTGTATAAGACATACAAAATAATACGCTACATATTGGCTGCAAAATGAATTTTGTTTTCGTGATTGGTTTTATTAAATTAGGAAACAAGAAAATAAAATATACTTTACAAAATGATAATATTATACAATATGGTTAAAAAACAGTATGGGTTAAAAAAACAGGTGATAAAGTAGGAGGGTGGGACACTTAGAATATCTCTACTTTTGCACTCTGAATTCTGAAAGTTGTCACTTCCCAGTTCCCACCCCCAACTTTCAGTCTCCAGTTCTTTCTTCACCTTCCCCACGCTCTTTCATTATCACAAAGCAATGGAGTTTATGAACAAAAAGGCAAATCCAGAAAAAGCAACACACAAGTTAGCAAAATATCGGAGATTTAGGTGTAGTTTGGTTTTGGTGATAGTTAAATGGGTTAATATTATTGGGAAACCCGAACTATTAACTTTGTGCCATTTGTGTCCTAAAATATTCTATATGACAATTGTGTCCCAAACTATTTTTCCGTTGGAGTTGACCGGTAATTGTTAACAGAAAGTCTGGTCACCTCTTAGGTGGCATCCGAAGTGGAATTTATAATATTAATTTATAATTATTTTTATATAAAAAATTACAAAAATAAAAAACATAAACATAAACTAATTGATTTGGGGATTTACCCTTCCCTCTCCCGCCTCCCAGCCTCTACCGTCGATTGTAAATCGATTTGGAGATTTACCCTTCACTGGGAGAGAGGCGGCCACCCTGGGCGGCGGACTCTGATGACGGCGGTGGTGGGCTTCGAGAGTTGGAGACGGAGACGGAGTAGGCAGCCTCCTTAAAGCCAGATATGTCAATCCAACATTGATGGCGGAGTAGCACCAGCGGCGTAGCGGTAGGGTCGAGATCTGGAGAGAAGCATGAAGGAGGGATTGGAGTTGGAGAGAAAAAATGGAATGCTAGCGGCACCTTCCTCTTCCTTAACCTCACCAATTCTCCGCGCAGAGAGGTCGAGAACCACCTTCTCACCCGCATGCCTTCCCTGCTCAAATCCACGAACCAGAACGAGAAACCCAAAACGCCGACCCTCCTCAAATCTCCGAAGAAAAGGTGCCTTCAATCCAACGTCGCTGGCGAGGAGATCCGTTGCGAGAGGAAGGGAGAGATAAGGAAGGGACATCGGATCCACATCTGATAGTTGTGGGATTAGATTCTCTGGGAATCGACATTTGGGATTTCGGTTTGGGAAGTAGCGACAATGGAATAGAAAAAGCTAATTGGTAGAGCCAATTTGTAGCTAATTCAAGAGTGTGGGATTCTTGCTCCCATGGCTACCCTTACCCTCTCCAACACACATTTGAGAGTCAGAAGCCATCGGCGGCGGGGTGAAGAAGATGGAGGGGAAGGAGGGTAGGGATGGCAGTTCAACCCGGACCCGCGGGTACCCGACCCGACCCGGTCAAACCGGGTAAAACCCGTGTTGACTGGGTTCAGGCCGGGTTCAGGTTTAAACCCGGTGATTGTTTGGGTGGGTTGGGGCGGGTTCGGGTTTGAGGGAACCCGACCCGTGGATACCCGGACATACATCTAATCTCTAACCCTACCCCCAAATTACCCCAGGACTGTCGACCCCCCCCCCCCCCCCCCCCCCCAGGCCCCCACCCACTTCCCAGAGACAAATCCCATTTCCCAGTCCCAATTCCCATCGCCGCCACGTCAAAATCTCCGCGACCCATCTTCCTCTCCGCCCTCCGCGACTCCTCATCTCCACTTCCTGTCCCAACTCCCGACTCCCAATCCGCCTGGCGACGGCCGCCCCGCCACCACCAAAACCCTCTGCCGAGCTTCCGCCTCCATTCCCGAATCCCGCCACCACCAAAACCCATCTGCGCCTCCAAGTCCCCACCTCCCCGCCGACGGTCGACGTTCGAATCCAGTCCTGCGCCGCCCTCCCCCTGCTACTCTGCTCCGCGCCTCCACATCGCCGCCTCCCGCCGACTCCAGTCCTGCCGCCCTCCAGTCCCGCCGCCCTCCTCCTTCTCCTCTGCTCAGCCCGTAGTCTCCACAACCCGCCAACGTCGACGGTCCACTCCCGCCGCCCTCCTCCTGCTTCCTCTGCTCCGACCCTTCCCCTGGTGGATGTAAGTGATTATAATTCATATATATGCTTTCTCTGTGGTTTGTTGGATGGATTCAAAAATCAAAACTGAATCTGTATGATAATTTTCTTGGTTTTGATGGCAGGTATGTGGTGGACCAGTGATGCTGATAGATATTTTGTTTTGGTTTGTAATTTTCCCGTTTCTGCACCTCCGCCCATCCCCTGCTCTTCCTCTGCCGAGAAGCCTTCCAAGGTCCAGACTCTAAAAAAACCCACGGGTACCCATCAACCCGCGGATACCCAGCGGGTTGGGTTGGGTTTGGATTTTTCAAACCCGACGGGTTTTATCCCGGGTTTTTTTGACGGACAAACCCGTGGGTTTGGGTTCGGGTTTGGCAAAACCCGCCCCAACCCGACCCATTGCCATCCCTAAAGGAGGGACAAGTTTTGAAGAGGGAGAGCGGCAGCAAGTCATCTAGGGAGAGGAGATGGGGAGACGAAGAGAACCGGAGTTATGAGAGAGGGTGGTTGCGGCGACCGGCGGTGGGGGTTAAGAAAATAGAATTTTTAATTTTATTATTTTATATTAAAAAAATAATTAAAAAATATTATGTGTTAATGAGCTGATTTGGCAGCTGACGTGGTGTATACGTGGCTGCCACATATGTGCCTTGTAACCAACAGTCAACATTTTATGGTTGACCGTTTGGTCAATCGTTATTTATAACGGTCAACAAAATTGTTAGGGCGTAAATGACACAAAACTACCAAACGTTGGGACACAATTGTCATATCGGATACTTTAGGACACAAATGGCACAAAGTTAATAGTTTGGGTTTCCCAGTGGTATTATCCCTAGTTAAATTGATGCATTGTCATTAATGCATGTATAATAATATGCATGTATATAAGAAAATTGGTGTATTGTAGTTTACATCGTTTGGTTTCTGTGATAGTTATTGTGACAGTTATTGTAGTATTTAAATAAGTTATATTGCTTTTTGGGTTAAATGTCACTTTTACCCTTTGTTTTTAATATTAAAAAATAAAAAGTAACAAACATAAAAAGTTAGAGACATAGTTGGAAGAAAAAATAACCCAACAATCTCCACGAAACAATCTCAACAATCTCACAAAAAACTTGAGATTTAACTATCACTCATTTTGAGTGATAGTTTGTGTCACATCAAGCAAACAATGCATGTATTGTTTGTGCAGAAAATTCAAAAAAACAATGCATTGTTGACAATACGTGCATTGTAACTATCCCATCAAACAATCACCAAAATCAAACGACCCCTTAAAATTCGGATCACCATGAATCATGATAATCAAACTAGAAATCAGTCGTAAAATAGAATAACAGTCGGTCAAAAAATCGAAACGCTAGTAACACTGTTTACCGCGCATTATGAGTCACGCCAACGAGTAGTTCAGACGAGGATCATAAGTACCCTCATTCGACAATACATTAGAGTCTAGGTGGATGTTGCACATCCATTACAATATTTAAAATTGTTCGGGTTTTATCTATACTCGTTCTCACAAGAATCATATAAAAAATCACATCATCCTTATACTTGATTGGGTTTTGGATATTCAAAATTATTCATGGGTAATAAAATATTTCTTTTAACTCCAACCAACATGTTCAAATTTCACACGCATACTGACATTTCATAAGTAAAAAATTAAGACAATAAGTCAATAGAGTAAAATTAGTTAAAAAATTAAAATTTCATGAAGATATTATATGTACAATAAATATAAAATAAGTTGAGAAAATAATAAAATTATCTAAACAAAATAAGTTTGTATATTGAGTAAATCATATTCCCTCATTACCCATAATATTCAGATTCCAGTCTACACAATAAATAAAAGCCAAATGAGAAAACTTGAAGCCCCATTTCAAATTTCCTTCATCCAGAGTGAAAGTAGGAAGGGTAGATTCGTCTTCACAGTTATTTATTAACTTCTTATTTACAGAAAAAATAGATCATTAATGAGATTTGAACCGTGGTCTCTTCAAACAAAGATAAGAAACATAACCAGTTACAATAAACACATTTGTGGGACCTTTTCCAATAAAAAACATACAGGAAGCTTAAATCAAAAAAATCATAGGACTTTTCCACCATGGTTAGCAACCGAAATGTCATTGATTCAAATATTGCATACCGAATTGCACTCTTGAATGTCTAGAAGCGATGTAGAATTCTTAACATAAACTTAATTGTTATAACTTCCATAAAGTAACAATATTTTTAAACACAAAACTTTTGAGTGAATATGGGGCACATGTGTCTTTAAGAGGGGTAAATATGGAAAGGTTAAGTGATGTTGGTTTGCCGAACGCGGATGGAAAAGACACTTCTAATGTAAACGAGCCCAATTAGTGCCCCGACCCACTAAATGCTCAACCATCGTCGTCTCTCCAAACTTTCCATTAGACTCAACAGCCGGCTAACCTCCTCTGCCTCTATTGTTACGCTAGAGCAATTTAGATGGGTAAATATGGAAAGATTGAGTGTTGTTGGTTTGCCCAACGCGGATGGAAAAGGCGTTACTGATGTAAACGAGCCCAAATAGTATCCGACCCACTAAAAGCTCAACCACCCGGGTTACTTTCGCTAAACCTAATATAATAGTGAAATGGGAAAGGTGTTTCCCCCATTAGAAAATCCTTGCATCCATAGCAAAATTAAGAAGGGTAGATTCGTCTTCACACTCATTTATATTTTATTATTTACAGGAAAAATACATTGGTGATGAGATTTGAATCGTGATCTCTTTGAGAAAAGACAAGAAACATAATCAGTTACACTAAAAAAATTTGTTTAAAATTTTTAAATTAAAAACATACAGAAAGTATAAATCTGGAAAATCATAGGAATTTTTTGTCATAGTTAGCTAAGCCACTAACTCTACCCTAAATATATTTTTGGTATTTGATACTTCTATTCTCATACTTTGATTATTTTAATTCAAATTTAATAATTATTTCTATTTCTATTTATCTTATAAATGGAGAATAATTTTAAATCGCAAGCCTAATGTCATTGGTGCAAATATTGCACATCGGATTGCAGTATTGAATGTGTAGAAGCGATGCAAAAATCTTGACATAGACTTAAATAATATAACTACCATAAAGCAACAATATTTTTGAACATAAAAGTTTTGATTGAATAGGGGGCACATGTGTCTTTACAAGATGGTTAAATATGGAAAGGTTGAGTGATGCTGGTTTGTCGAATGCGGATTGAAAAGACGCAACTAATGTAAATGGGTCTAAATGGTGTCCCGGCCTACTAAACGTTCAACCATCGCCGTCTCTCCAAACCTTCCCACCGGACTCGACAACTGCCTGACCTCCTCAACCTATATTGTTACGCAACGCAATTTTCGGAGGGGTAAATATGGAAAGTTTGAGTGTTCTTGGAGAGCTGTCTGGTGGATTGTTTAGCTTCTTTGACAGTAATGAGTGATCTCTTAACATCAGTTCATTTGGTTGATCTTCTAGGTTGATCTTCTAGGTTGACTTTTGAGTTGATTAAGGATATACAGTGTCCCGGGCTCTCGGCCTGCTAAACGCTCAACCATTGTCGTCTCTCCAAACCTTTAAATCGGACTCGACAACCGCCTAACCTTCTCCACCTATACTGTTATGCAAAGCAATTTTCGGAGGGGTAAATATCGAAAGGTTGAGTCTTCTTGCTTGGAGAGCTGAATGATGGGTTATTTAGTTTCTTTGAGAGCAAAGTGTGATCTCTTAACATCAGTTCATATGGCTGATCTTCTACGTTGACTTTTGAGATGATTAAAGATAAATAGCTATAATTTTTGTTGCTTTTGTTATGATACCCCTGTTTAGTACCATCATTTTTCCGATTTGAAATGTTTTTGTGGTTAGTTTTAGTAAACAATGACTATTCTGATTAGTGTTAACATAGAGAATAGCTTCAATCATAACACTTTTACACAAAATTTATATGTAAGAGTTGAGATCATTTCCAAATTAAACTATTCAAGTTATAATGCTAATCTTCAACATATAAAACATGGTTTCTTTTGAGTGGAATAACCTCATGATTGCATATAAGTATTTACAATATGATGTTTTGTGACAGTGTCACTTGCTTCCAGATTTAAAAGTGGTGTTCTAATTACTACAATATAAAAATACGAGTGATAACCATAATTGGAGCAGATAGAAGATGGTTTGATATCATTCTCTCTGCAAGGAATAAATACATTGTGAGAATATGTTGTCATGGGAAGGACAAACCGAACTCTTTGTGTTTTTAGTATAGCATGTTGATATATACGTATGTCTAGACCCGATCGATTGGACATCTCCACCTGGAATTTATTGAAGGGATTTTTGCTCCTCAAAGCCGGGTGCCAAGTAAGCTCTCTCCTTAATCATTATATTTTTCTTAATTTGCACATGCACACCCTCATAGGAAACATGTACGGAATTGTAATTTGGGTGCTTCATTAGTGTTGTTTCCATAAGATTGTATTATCTGAGGTGGTTGTTCTAGAATTGTGAATCGTGATTTTATCTCCTCTAAGAAATTGTCAAGTGAAGCTATAAAAGAGGTCAACTTGAGCTTCCTATTTAATTTAGATGGTAAGAGAGCAATGACTTACATCAAATTGATTGGGGGTTGACAATGTATGGGAAACGGTTTAGCCTTCTTCAGCGCATCACAAGATCCTTATAGTATCTCAACCAAAGCAATTTTTGTTTTCATGCATGATATTGATACAAGTTGCTTACCTAGAAGAGAACCCCAACAAGTTAGCTCTTGGAGTTGTGATGCGAAAATGGGTGAGATAAAAATGGTTTATACAAAAGGTCATACAATGATCGTATAAAATACGTTGGTAGAGATAGTCATCAATCTCATTTTATTGCAGAAGCCACCGAGGAGAAGAGAGGAATCGCCATTGGTACTCTAAATTTTACAAGACTATTATAATGATCATTTCTTTCATTTCATGTAAATTTGTATTACGACTGAAATGATATTATCCCAAGCCATAAATTGCAGCAAGGAATGGTAGTTTGAATTAATATGCAATGATGCAAAATGTCATGTAGCTTCCACGAAAAAGGAGTAAGAGTGGACCAATCAGTGTGTTTGCTGTAGAGAAGGATAAGAATCGTAATAATGGGGAGGTATATTGACAGAAGTTATTATCTCTTGGTGCTTCCAGACAGATATTGCTTGCCTGTTTCTTTTGTTTGTATATGACATTTCTAAAGCAGATTGCATGCTTTGTATTTCTTTTTTTTTTTGTCATTTTAATTAACAAAACTATTTATCAGAAAAAATTGACCGACGCATTCCATCGAGTTGATTTAGACATTGCTGGTTTTTGTTTTCTCAGCCAGAGATTCATCGCATTTTGTATCACTGTGGTTTTTGGTCTAAGGGCAATCTATATTGGATTTTTCTTATGAAATCTCTTGGTGACTTCCAATTTTACCATCGATAGTTGGAGTCAGGTAAACATTCCTTTAGTTTTTTCATGTTCACTCTAGGGGCATCATGGTGCATGGCAATAGTGGCTATATTGAAGGCTAATGGCTTGGTTTGGATTGTCTATTATAGTGTTTATGTTTTACTGGTTCTTTTGTAATGCAATGGAATAATGACTTTCCATCATATTATTATGGTATTGTTGACCTACCTCCTGTCATCGCCACATACATGTTAACGAGTAACATCAGTTACAATCAAAAAGTCAATTTCCGAGACTACATCCGGCCAAGGGCCGGGCAATGAGCTAGTTATAATTATACTCACTGAAAATCTTTTGAATTGGAGTTTCAGTGTTTCACAAATACTCGATTAGCTCTGATATTATGAATATATTTTACGATCCCTAATTCCTCCGTCCATGGCCCATGGCGTCAAGCCATCTCATTCATTCTTGGATTTAACGGAAACTTAACGAGGTAATTTGTTTTCCACTACGAAAACATATTAGGCTGTGGGCTGTGGCAGAAATACCCTTATTAGGCCAGATTCGGGCCGAATTAGTTACCGCTCCGTAGTCCGTACGCTAGACTTGGTTGATCATGTATTCAACACCCTTAGAATTCTTATGGGCCTCGCCGTGGGCCGGGAAAACCGTATCATCACATGACGGGCCTCGTATAATGGAGTAAGCAATTGTTAAACGCCTAGTCGGAGTTGAACTAGGCCAGCCCAGACAATCATCTACAAGATATATAATCACAAAACATGAGTTGAAATTGTCTCATTTTGTGGCCTAAGAGTAATTCTAGGAAGGTCATTTTTATCATTGCACTCAGTTCTTTTTTATATATTAAAAATGTTATCATTGGAGTTCAAACTTTGATCAATTCAATGAAGAAATAACATTGTAACCAACTACACTACATTGTCTTATAGTTATTTTCTTTATTAAATATCTAGAAATATGTTTGGTGATGATGCTTCTATATTTATATTTTATCTTAAGTTATTTATATTTTATGGAAAGAGATTATTTCTGAAATTAGAACTCAAGTAACATTCGTTCAAACATTAATATTAAATTGTATGTGTAGTTTAGTTTAGAGAAAATACAAAGGTGTAACCAATACATGGACCTTTGTGACAAGTATATTCATTTTTTGTGACTAATGTACACATAATATAATGATAAAAGTGATCCTAGGAAAGCTCTTTTTCGTCATTGCGCCCAATTTATCTTTATATTATGTGTAGATTGTCACAAATAATTACTATATTTGTCACAAAGGTCCATGTTTTGGCTACACCATATGTATTTTTTTCTAAACTGAACCATACATATGATACAATTTAATATTTAATGTTTGAATCAATATTATTCAGTTCCGATTTCACAATTAATCACTTTCTATAAGATATAATAATTTAAGGTAAAATACCTTTCCTACTTGGTTGAAGAAACTCTTTCTATAAGATACATTTAATGTTGTAAGATTTTTCATTTGAAATTTCGTGAATTGAGAGTGAAAGTAGGAAGAGTAAGTTTGTCATCACAATTATTTATCTACTTCATATAAAAAAGTATCAATATCAATATTTGAACCATGGTCTCTTGAAACAAAAACAATAATCACAACCCATTACACTAAAAAAATTTATTTTATCTACTTGAATTGTAAACATACACTAAGTGAAGATTTGAAAAGCATATGACTTTTCCATCACGGTTAGCTAGCCTATTAAATCTTCTGAAAAGCAAAGTTTAATACGTGATTTATAATTTTTTATAACCTATACAATTTTGGATAATCTTAAACTTTCAACCCAAATTTCATTGCTTGAAATAATGCATACCGAATTGCAGCATTGAATATTCAAAAACCATGTAGAATTCTTAAATTAAAATAAATTTTCAACACTACTACGAAGCAATATATTTTGTACAAACGACAGGTGAATGGTTCTCTAAACTTTTAGCCTGGTTACCTGCTAAACGTTAAACTTTAAGGGCTCGCGCACAAGTCTGAGCACCACACAATCTATATTGGTGAACTCATGTTTTAAGGAGAAATGCGTCATTTGATAAAAAATAAAATAAAATATTATAAAAATAACATTTAAAATTTCAATTAATGAGTAGTTTTTCACATCAACATGTGACGGCTCATATTCTAAAAGGTTTATAAAATACATTCATTGTTTATCTTGAGACTCAAACCTTTTCCGATTTATACAACTAAACACTCATTTATAAACCCATTCTTGATTAACTTTAGAGCTGAAAAGTCTGATTTACAGCCTGCAGTAATAACAAATAACGTCAACAATAACTTTAGAAGCAACTAAAGTGAAGAAGAGATTGCGATTCAGTATCTCTTTGCAAATGTGTGTGTGTTTGGGGGGAGTTTTTTTGGTCTAAAAAGTTTGTGGAAGGGGTTGAAAATATATCATTTGTTCGAATATTGCATATTGAATTGGAGTATTGAACATTTAGAAGAGATATATAATTCTTATATTATTATTAATTTTCAGCACAGTTGACCAATAGCTTTAGACCTCTTTCTAATCTGACATGATTTGATCCAATAATCATAAGATGAGATTTAGTTCGCTATGCTGGTTCAAAATCATTTTTATGTGTAAAAAATTTGTACGACAAATGCAAATAAGTGAAGATGAACTTGATTATGCATTTTGATTCTTTTGATATATAATATTGGTTTAAGCGATGAACTAACTATACACTCACTCAATTGGTTTAACGATTGTTGTTTTTATCACTTTTAGTAATTAGTTTATTCACAAACTATCAAACTACTTTGCTCCGTCGAGGAATAAACGCTCAAATGTTCGCCTGGTTTCATGTGCTCTAATTCACACTATAGACTGTGAATGGAGAAGAAACATTTCGAACGCAAAATTCGAGAAGTAATTGGGATGTTTCTCGATTTCTCTCGATTCTAGGCGGTGGGAAGAAAGAGTAAGGGAAGGGGGGAGAGTGGTGAGATACAAAAGAGAGAGAGAGAGAGATGGAAGAACAAATGAAAAAAGTAAGAGGAAGACAAAAAGAGAGTAAGAGAACACATTTAAAAGAGAGAGGAAATGATGTAGTGTGAAATAATTGTCCTTCTCTTTTGCTCAGAGGGTATTGTTAGACCTCTTCTGTTGAGTTTTGATTTATATTAGGGGATGACATTATATTTGACAGATTTTTCTCATTTCAATAAATCCTAAATCAATATTATCATTTGGATGATTTTTTTTCTTAATATGATTATTATAATTTATGAGATTTAAGGGGTATTTAATAATGTCAACATTTTAGTGATTTTTCTATTTAAAGTTTGAATTGAAAGATCGTACCTACTGGTAGTTCGACCATAAAACTCCACACCATAGGCTAGATTGGTAGGTGATATTTAGGGTTTGTTTGGAAGTTGTGATTCTTTAAATTGATGTATTGAGACAATTAGTGTATTATCATTTGATGTATTGAATCAATTGATGTATTAGGCAAATATCTTGTTTGGAGGTTTAGATTGTGTTTTTGTTCCAAAGGCAAAAAAGTTAGTTTTGAGTGATTGTGAAGAATCTCAACAGAAAGTAGAGATTGTAAATCCCTCAATATTGAATGATTGTGGTGGGGCCTCCAAAAAGTAAATGCATGTATTCTAGTTCTATATAAACCCAAAACACGACTTTAAATTGATGTATTGAGACAATTAGTGTATTATCATTTGATGTATTGAATCAATTGATGTATTAGGCAAATATCTTGTTTGGAGGTTTAGATTGTGTTTTTGTTCCAAAGGCAAAAAAGTTAGTTTTGAGTGATTGTGAAGAATCTCAACAGAAAGTAGAGATTGTAAATCCCTCAATATTGAATGATTGTGGTGGGGCCTCCAAAAAGTAAATGCATGTATTCTAGTTCTATATAAACCCAAAACACGACTTAATTTCACAAATACATGAATTAAATCAATACACCATTTGAAATCACAACTTCCAAACGACCCCTTAGCAATATAAAACGGTTGAACCACGGTTAAATTATGACTTCGGTATAAAATACTCTACTACCACATTTTTTATACGATTTTACAGTAATTTGGTTCAAATAATTCTTTTACACTGGTGGAAATAAAAGTTTTAAGGCACATTTTGAACAATCTATTGCAAAAAAGCATAAGTGAGTTAGTGATAACGAGAATATGCGATCTCATTCAACCCAAATGACACTTTGCAACTTATATCCTTTTAAAATAAGAGTAGCGAACCCTAGTTTTGGAGTTTTCCGCAACCACTACTAATAGAAAAAGGGCTTTTTCAGCTGCATCGCACTGCCGCATAAACAATGGATCCGCCGGGCTGGATGAGCAACCATCTCTGGAAAAGAATAGTGAAAAGCCATGTCACTTGGAACGAAACTGGTTGCTTACTTACTTTTAGTAAGACCACTTTGGTAAGCAAAATTCGATTATGATTATATAGGCATGGTTGCTTACAAGACAAAAAAAAAGCTAGCTTCTATATGTTCTTTGCCTTCACATATAGAGGAAGCAACCTTCTATCTGGCCTATATACCAGTAGTGGAGTGGCTTGCTACTTTCAATTAGAAAACTCAAATTGAGCAAGGCAGTTGTCCTCTCTTCTTATCCTCGCTCATTCATCAACTTAATGAGTAACATATATTTCATATAATATGATTTTCATAGGTTTTTTATTTATTGAATTACTTCATGAAAAAAATATTTGCTACAGTCAAAATTATTACATTGTTGCTAGACATGTTTGTGTTATGAGAGAAATTTGGGAAGTCCGTACACAATACATTGTTCAACTAACTATTAGCGAAAACTTAACATCATGTTTCATATATTTCTAATCAACCAACTTCAGATTCATTACCAACTGTGTGGTAAAAAAGAATGCTCTCTATTGGAAAATAATTTAAAGGATATACTAAACTCTATGAAATATATTTTCTTTCATCCTAAATGTTGATTAATTATGTATTATGAGAAGCAACTCTAATATTCAACTATATGATTTAATTAAACTACGAATGACAATTAGTTTATTTATTTCTTTTTTCATTCAGTAATTACATGTAATGCTTATATCATACTTTTTTTTTTCTTTTATAGAGGACTAAACACATTATACATAGTTGGATCACTTTCAAAAATATTATGTGCATAACTATGATACAAACATTCATTTCGTGTATTTTAAATCATATATTATATTTATTATTATCTATCATATTTTTTGACAAAATTCTCCCGACCAACGGGCCGGTTCCTATGCTAGTTAAAAATAAACGACATTACTCAAAAGAAAAATCATTGAACTTTTCTCTGGATTGCTTCAGAAAATGGATTCATAAATAAATGAAACTCTTCAAGCTAATTGGTTTTGATTTGAATAATTAGAGTGTGGTTCACAATTTTCCTAAATGTAGCCTGAATCAATCCGACAATAATAAGACAGTCACGAAACCAAAAAAGCAAACGTCTTAGCTAACAATGCCACTGCCCTAGCAATGAGATTAACCGTTACTCTGCTCTAAAATTTCTGAATCACTACCGAACTCGCGATCCCAGCATCCTCTATCGTCTGATCTGGATCGGTGAGCTGTCTGGGAGGGAACCCCATCGTCTGCAGCTGGAAACCTTGAGCTTCACCAGGTCTCGACGCCATGATGAAAGAACGCACGTCTCTTACAGTGTGGTGGAGGTTGAACCTGGAGACCATCCGGGTCCCATCTGCCAACCGTAGCTGAATCGAGGTTGTTGGTAATGAGGAATCCACAGTCAGACCGATCGACGGAGCTGGTGCAGACTTCAATGGTGGAGCGGCTGGTGACTCTGATGCTGAGGCTCCACCATCACCGGTAGTTCCCAGAGTTCTGCCCGTGCCTTGGAAGGCTGGTTTCTTCTTTGCTGGTTCCTGCATTGGAAGGGATAGGAGGGGAATTCATAAAAGAGATGAAATGACAAATGGATAGATAAGAGGGTGAAGATGAGAACTCACTGCAAAGTTTTCATCCCGTCTCACAAGGTCAAGATGGACCTTAGTTCTCCTGTCTGCTGGTTCAAGCTCTCTTGGACACTCGGATCTCTGAACACTCTGCAATATGATATAGATAAGTAGGGCACCATGAGGGCAATATCTTGCACAGATGCAACATCGTATCTTTCCATTGAAAGATTCCAACTTCACACACAAGGCAATACAAAAAGCTTCTCAAGTGGGCTATATGCCAGCAACAGAGAGCCATTTACTTTGCAATGATATTTGTCTCACTCAAAAGCTTCTATTATTATTTTTTACTGATCATGTTATTATGTGAAGTGTATTTGCAAAAACATTCACTTCAGCATTTGTATAGATAGTTGCATCAGAAAAGTGAAGGAACCAGTTCGACACCAATTTTACTAGTGTGTATTCTTTCTACGCTTAATGCATTTGAGACATTAGCAAATTTTAAGTTTTTAACCCCCTAAACCCAGCCAAACGACCTGTGAACATGAACTGAATACGTGGCGGAAGCAACCTGGATACTTTGAAGCAATTGGTAGACTTGGGCAAAGCTAAACAGTGAGATGAAGCACTATAGAGTACTCACAATACGCAACCTCAGCAGAATGTGGCAAGTACATATAGTCGTTATAAGCATTTACCTCGAGGAATTCGGCATTAGCAGGATCATTCAGCCTCCTCAAAGGTCCATCATTGACAGTGAAGCCATTCCTCCAGAGAGTGATGGTATGATTGACAGACTCAGGAGGCTGTGCAGAAGTAGGAACTGTGTCTCCAGTGAGTAGTCTCCCAGTTCCAGTAAAGCTTCTCGAAGCCGAAGAAGACCGAGCAGAAGAATCCTCAGGCCTTTGAACAGCTCCTGAGTTTCTAGCTTGATCGAAAATCGAATCTGCATCATATCGCTTTGTAGGATCTTGGACCAGCATGCCACTGCACCAAGTAATGTCAATGAAGCAAACATCATCAGCCACAAAATAATCATTCATCGGTACTGGAATCAAACAAACACACCATTCATGGCTACAAGTTCAGGAATTGCTCAATAAATGGCTGAAATCCACAAAATTGTCTCCCTAATATCGACATTGAACCAAAATTCAAGTTTTATGACGCTAAGCTAGGGCACTAATTATATTTCTATTGTTTTTACCTCTTCTCGCCTCCGGTGTAATACTCCTGCGGCTCGTCGTCGTCATCATCGCTATCAGAACCACCAGGGATCCGATTGAGATCAGCCAAAGTCCTAATTCCACCACGATTCCCACTCCCACTAGCACCAGCCGTACCAGTCTTCTTACTCTTCTTCTCCCCTCTCGATCTCAGCTGGTAGGGCAACCTAGACATAGTCGCGGGAGCAGGAGACGAGGAGCGGGATCGTGACCTGGACCTAGCAGGAGACTGCGAGGGGGAGTAGTTAGGAGACATCGATTCGTCCGGCGAATCCGCCGGAGAAGGAGTGCCACCGCCACCGCCACCAGTCGGAGGAAGAGGAACAGCACGAGCACTAGCAGCAGCAGCAGAAGAAGCGGCGACGGCGACAGCGGCGTTATCATTGTCGAGGAAGGTGGAGACGGCGGCGTCGAGATCCCATTGGTGGCTCTCGAGGAAGAAAGCGGCTTCCTGCCTGCTGGAGGAGGTGATCTCGCAGAAGGAATCGACGAGGGCGGAATTGGCGGTGTCGTTGAGATCGAGATTCCCGCCGGCGGCTTCCATGTTCAGGTTTTGGGGGGTCGCCGGGGCTCTGGCCGTACGATTGGTTTGAGGCGGCGGCGGGGTTACGGGGAAGATTTTTTCGGGGAATTGGAAGATGGAAGTGAGGAAGGAAGGATTCAGATTTTTTTGTTGGGTTCGCAGTGATTCGATTCTTCGAACCCACCGCATTATATTCTTTCCGTAACGTTTTCCTTTCTCTCTTGGAACAAGGAAGCGTTTGGTTAAATTGCATCAGTAGTCACTAGAGTTTTGGGGATTGGTCTAATTAGCCACTAAAGTGTTGTTATACCAATTAAACCCCTATACATCCCCATCCCCATCCCATATGGTAGAGTTTTGTGTAATTTTCTCTATTTCAAATTTTTTGTAACGAGAGTGAAAGTAGGAAGGACATTTTTGTCTTTACAATCATTTATTTATTTCAAATAAAAAATATCAATATCAAGATTTGAACCCAGGTCTCTTAAAACACGGACAACAATCATAACCAACTACACTAAATGAATTTGTTATTTCTATTTGATATAAAACATACACTAAACTCTCGAAAGTTAATGACTTTTACATCATGAACAACAAGCCCACTAAGTTTACCATATTTATTTTTATGGTGCTTAATACTTCAATTTCCATAGTAGAGTTTCATGTAATTTTATCCATTTTAAAATTCATGCTGTTTAGAGCCTGGAATAAAATATATACAACAAAGACATTCAAATTCATGTATTATGCCCCATTATAAACCACACCAGCCATAGGTTTAAGACACCACAATGATTTTTCAATGATGTTTCATAATTTAAAATACAACCGTTGATTGAAAATTTAATAACTTATATATATTTATGGCAAAGGCTAGCATGCGTCTGACATATTATTTATTTATTTCAAATAAAAAATATCAATATCAAGATTTGAACCCAAGTCTCTTCAAACACGGACAACAATCATAACCAACTACACTAAACGAATTTGTTATTTTTATTTGATACAAAACATACACTAAACTCTGGAAAGTTAATGACTTTTACATCATGATCAACAAGCCCACTAGGTCTACCATATTTATTTTTATGGTGCTTAATACTTCAATTTCCATAGTAGAGTTTCATGTAATTTTATCCATTTTAAAATTCATGCTCTCCTTAATTTTTGCTTAGGTAAATTTGTAATTGGCTAACATGGAAGAAACTATTTCTTTTACTACGTGTTGCGTCATTGTATTTTTCAATTTAAAATTAAATGTTGTGCTTTTTTATCTTTGTTCTTATCTCTTTATAACTTCCTCCAAAAGTCCCTCCATCGTGCAATAATTTGGCCATTTCACTTCCCAGTACAAGAACGCATTTGAAAATTAATCTTCCGATTTCTCTTGGTACAACAGTTTTATTTTTGGGATTTAAACTAGGCAAATAGAAAATTTCAAATCTGATATCAATCCATGTCGAATAGAATGGAGTTCAATCAAGTAGTTATGAATTTAAACTTGGAGTAGAAGAGTTGGAATTGAGTTTGAGAATGGAAGTGGGGGGGGGGGGGGGGGGGAAGAAATTGTGTTTGAATTTGGTAGCAGGTAAAGTTCCACTGCAACAGGTCAAGGCAGAGAAGAGGGAGTTGGAGAGGGTAGTGAATGAATTGAGGTGGGTGTTGAAAGACATGGAAGAAAAACTGGAGCAGTTAAAGAGAGAGAAGTGAGAGATGATGAGGATAATAATGAAAATGGAGAGGTTATGGAAGGACATGGAAGTGGACTAAAGCAGGTGAAGGCAGTCAATGGGGAGATGAACATATTGATGGAATTAAAGATGAGTGTTGGTTTTAGCGAACTTATTACAAGTGCCCCGAGGAAATGAAGTTGTTTGGTTGAAACATATGCCTCTTGAGATTAAAGATAGAGTGGATAAAAATTTGGTCGTTCAACGGAGAGTGGTGGCTATTGGCTCTTTAGGTTCATGGTTTTTGCAGCTACCACAACCTATTTATATGTTAAACGAGAAATCATTGATTTACTGAATTAGGTCGATTCTTTATTCAACCTACTGAAACTTATAGAAAAGTAGTGTCTAATTTTATGTCTTATGACTTTGATCAAGTCTATTAGTATATTGGAGATAACCCTAATTTTGTCGTTTGCTCTCAAGTTTTGATGGTTCCCTCTTAGTTTAGTTTGTAGTATATAGTTGACTTGAACCAACAACTCTCAATTTCTTTTTTATTAGTGGCATGTTGTTCCTAAAAGAAGAGCATTGAAGCCTTTATGTAGTAGGATTGTGAGGTTTTAGATTCAGTTTCAAACTATATATGGGCCGTGTGGTAATTCCAGTGAGTTTTTATATTCTATCTTTCTTGACAATTAACTAACCAATATAAAATTATCATTATGAAAATGAAAATGAAAATGAAAATGAAATCAATGATACATTTTTATATTTTATATTCTTAAAAGATGATGGTATTTCTTCGAGTGTTCAACCTATATATTATTTCTTTATGTATCATCTAATTCGAAAGATTATCAAAAAAATTAAACAGGTTGATAGACTTAAACTTAACATAAAATTATAAATAATCAAATATGAACATTTCGACCAACGGGCCGAGTTATAAGCTAGTTACGAAATATGGGGGGACTAATATACCATTACCCAGATAATTTCAAAGTATTTTTTATTATTATAAAAGAAGAAAAAGAGTATGCATGATATTAGCAGATTTTTTTCAGAAATAAATCAACTTTTTTTTAACAAAAATAGCACCCAATCTCAAAAAATTCCAAAAATAACCCATTTCTTAAAAATCGTTGGGTGAGGGCACGATTTTCAACAAAAACCGCTTGGATCGGGGGAGGTTTTGAAGACCCTTTGGTCCAAAACCGCTGCCTCGGTTTGGTCCATATAATTTTTTTCCTCGATAAATCCTAACCAAGGTGGAAACTTCAAACGAACGTATCTTTGTGTTCGGCTATCCGATCGTAGCGAGTTTTTTTTTTATTCTGCATAACTTTTCGAGATCTTGCAAGCCGCAAACAGTCATAGGCAGTTTGGTCTTGCCTTCATCCCGAAAAAATGTCGTTTGCTACCCCGAACGAGTTTTTTTTTTCCGATTTCGTCAAACTTTGGATGACCATAACTTTGTACTCCAAAATACGAACGTCATGAATTTTTTTATTTATTTTGCATAACTTTTGAAATAATTCAACTTTTACTAGGAATGAATTTTCAAAACATATAAAAAAATCAAAACATGAATTATTTTTGGATATACAGGATTTTGGGAATAACTTTACCTTCCCTTTTCACATATCCACGTACATTCCGAAATTATGTCTATGATTTTAGTCCTTAAAAAAGTTAAGCAAAATTACAAAAAAAATCATGACGTTCGGATTTTGAAGCACAAAGTTATGGCCGTCCAAAGTTTGATGAAATCGGAAAAAAGCTTGTTCGGGGTAGCAAACGACATTTTCTTGAGATGAAGGCGGGACCAAACCTCCGACGGTTGTGTGCGGCTTGCAAGATCTCAAAAATTTATGCGGAATCAACAAAAATTTCGCTACGATGGGATACCCTTACATAAAGATACGTTCGTTTAAAGTTTTCACCTAGGTTAGGATTTATCGAAAAAAATTATATGGACCAAACCGTTGGGTGGGGCAGCGGTTTTGGAGCAAACCGCCCCTGACTCAAGCGGTCTCCAAAACCGCCCTAGACCCAAGCGATTTTCTTTGAAAACCGCGCCCCCACCCAGCGGTTTTCGTCTAAACCACGGGGTGGGGTGGCGGTTTTTGAGAAAGGGTGTTATTTTTGTAATTTTTTTAAATAGTGATATTTCTCGAAAAAATCGGACATTAGGCCGGGACAAGACCAAATATCGTTATTGCAAGCAGTATAGTAAAAATATCGACTATAGTCTTAAAATCTTACGATTTTATGATCTAATATATGAGCTTCCATCCTTATTTTACCATTTAAATTTCAAATACAAATCCCATAAAATACTGATTAAAATACATGAAATTTTTAGAATTGGGTAAATGCCACATTTGGTCACTGAGATTACTAAATCATGTTATGTTTAGTCACTAGAAAATATTAATATTAATTTTGGTGACTCGAATTACTGAAACATGTCACATTTAGTCACTCTCCCGTTAGTTTCCGTCCAACTTCATTAACAAAGTTGGACGGAGGCAACGAAGAGTGACTAAATGTGACATGTTTTAATAATTCGAGTGACATTCATAAAAAAAAGTAATTCGAATGACCGGAGTTGGACGGAGGCTAACGGGAGAGTGACTAAATGTGACATATTTTAGTAATTCGAGTGACCAAAATTGATATTAATTTTTTCTAGTGACTAAACATAACACGATTTAGTAATCCCAGTAACCAAATATGGCATTTACCTTTTTAGAATATATGATTTTCACAATTTTATATGATTTTAAGGTTCGACCTAATCAATGCAAATCAAATTGGCTGGGTTGTGTTTTTCTTGCAAACAAGATCAATTTGAGCATATGCTACCAAAAAAAAAATAGCAAAAAAAAATCTCTATCTCATCTCTTATTCTACTCATTCCCTCTAAACTACCTCTAGTTCTACATTAAGGATGACAATAATATGGGTTTGAGACGGCTTACTCTCAACCATCCTCAAAACCATTTTCAAATATTCAAATTCATACTTATGCAGGGGTGGTTATGGCACCTCATCCTCGTACTCGCGGTTTTCGGTACCCGTGAGCAATATCTGCCCCTTATACTCAATATTACTATTCCTAGAATTCACATGTAAAACTAAACCAACGTAATAAATCATGAAATCAACAAATATACAATCTCCTTATATTCAAAGTTATGTTTACCGGTTCTTCATTTATTTTGATTTTGAAAGTGTAGATTTTCCATCATGAAGAGAGATTTTTTGAAGTCTCTAATAAATTTGATGTATAGAACTTGCCTTAACTAAATTTCTAACAACACCATTGATTATAGCTTGTTACCATCACTATTGAACATTATCATAAAGGTTCTCTTTGTAGAGAGGGGCTTTGTGGGATTTTTTTTCCAGAAATAACACTGTTTTTTTTATACTAAAATAGCACCCAATCCCAAAAAACTCTAAAAATAGCACCCTTTCACAAAAAACCGGTGCGTGCGGCGCGGTTTTCAACCAAAAC